GTCCCTAAACTTTTATTGTTACCTAAAAGGTGTTATTTAAACAGATAGACAGTATTTTTTTTTTAACTATTTAGATTCTTCTCACTATTCTCAATGGAGAAAGTGTCCAAAGAAATCATATCTATCTGATATACAATTGGAACAATGACCAACTAGGAGAAGAGTTAGAGTCAAACTACTTCTTAATAAGTAAATATTATTTTGGTCAATCTAGTCTATTGTTAAATTAGTTTATAATTCCTTTTGAATATATTTTAATAATAATTTTCATGAAAAATTAGCCATGATTCAAAGCAGGTCCTTCACCCATAAAATTAAGAGGTCTGTACCAAAGATGTTTTAAGGTATTCTAATGTGATCTATTAGTGGTACCATTAGCAACAAAAATAACAACAGGTCACTATACAGATTCAGAGGGATAGAGGGAGTTTTATTCATCATCCTTACTGATAAGCAATAATCATAACTGTAATAATACAAATTTATATTATAGTTAAATAATTTCAGTGCTTTTCTTGGAACAAGTTGAATGTGTTTTGCATAGATCAGCTCATCAGTTACATTAGTCTATGAAAAAAAAAAAAAAGAAATGATACAACCATAAAAAATTCCCACTTAGTAAGAGTTAATTCTGTTACATGTGAAACCATAAACCTTACTTACTGGACTACTTCATACACCAGTCATTTGTGAAAAATTACTTTAAACCATCATGCCATTCATTATCCTGAAAAATAGGATAATGGAATGCTCTATCTCCCCCAAGTCTGCTCACTGTAAACAGTCCATCCCTCTTTGCTGACTCCAAAAGCTGTATAAACATACTACACTCAAACCCACTATCACTTGTAGAAATCCTTTCTTTAAGTAATCTACAAAATGCCAATCTAATATAAATACGAGAAAGAGAAGTTCTTACTAACACAACATTTTGTATTTACAGTATTCTGAACAGTGCTTAAACCTGCACCGGTTATATAAAAGGCTCTACCCCAGCGCTGCCTCCCACCTCAGGCTGACAGCATGCTTAGTTCTCTCATTTACACCACACTGCAATAACATAAAGAAGGGTTTACTATTAATCCAGGTTTTACTACAAAGCGACCCGTTATTTCTCTGTCAAACACTAGCAAGAGTGCCAAGTGTCTGTCATCCAATTCAGGGGATTAAGTCTTCTTTTATAGTCTGATACTTGTACCAATTTATAAAAATACAGATATAGTTTCTGAGAGTTGGTCACAGTCTATATTTTGGCTTGAATTCAGACAGCAGAGGTTGACTATGACAGCTGGCAGGAAACTGAGGGGAGAATACATCCTCCCTCTTCAGTCACCACATCCCAGTTGCCATGGCGATTAATCCTTAATTGAATGCTGTCTTTGTACATTTCTTTTCAGAAAACTTTAAGTAAACTTAAGTTGAAAACATCCAGTTGATTGAAGAAAAGGAGGGACCACATCACAAGCAGGTATAGTTAAGTTTTGTGACATGCTTCCATATAATAAAAGGACAAATTAACTCTAAAAAAGGTATTACCAGTTCCTTCAAATGCTTACAACATTTCTTTTTGGTCTGAGCTTAAACTTAAGCCCCACAGGTTTTCTTTCATATTATGAGACATCTCATCTTTTACGGTGAACTGTTGTCAGAATGGTTCTAAAATCTCCAAGTATAATTTAAGGCAAAACATGTTCTTATTTTGCACATTATTTTACACAGTTTGTATTATCAAATGACAAACATATACATAGAAATTTGTTTTAGGAGAAATAACTTTTAATTTAGGACATTTATAAAATATGTTCCACGCATAAAAAATAATTTATGAAAGTATAAACAATAAGAATCCAAAGGAAACATTGCACAGAGTATATTTTAGGCCTTTTCTAATATATGGTTGAATGTGAAAAGTAGATTCCTAGTTTTGTTATTTTAGTTATCAATAATTACTACCCATCAAGCAGACTGGAAAACAGTGAAAGACCACAGGACTTTATCTGGGATTACGGTGTTCATTACCTCTTCTGCATGTTTTCCTTTATTATATTCATTTGCAATTTAGTTTGTAGCCTGTAGTCCAAATTTAACTATAATACTGCTCAGAAAGTGAAATATTAGCATATTGGGGCCACTGTTATTTCTGTGTTGGTTTCATATAAATAAATAAACAGGATTTGGTTTTTCTTAGAGAGTGAGGCAACACGTCTGTGTTGGCTGCAGAGACATGTCATGTGCATGTCTGTATACACACACAATCTTTTCAAACATGAGTTAAGTTCTTTAATAAAACTTTGATGATAGATATGAACCACTCAGAAGGATTCTGAGTAATCAAAAAGATTGTGAATTTGAGCCCGAGATGAAAGATACTGTACTGCAGGTGGGAGGTCTGGGCTTTTTTGGAGACTACAGGTTTGCAGGTATTTTCTAACACCATGAGTGAGTTTCTTGTTCTCGTTCATTTCCCTGGCCCTCCATTTAGTCCTTTTTCTTTCCACAACTATTTTTAAATTCTTTCAAAATTGCAAATTCACTATTGCCACCCACCATCACACTACAAGCTGCAAAATCTTTCAGTGAGTGACATAAATGTCTTTCTCCAAAGACGACGGTGTGTTTCAACAATTTTCTTATTAAAGGTGTTGAAGCAATACTGGTCAGATACAATGAAATCAGTAATTGGAGACATTTTTTCTCAGAAATTTTGTGAAATGGCTTTGAAGTGTTGGAATGAAATTTTACTGTATCAAATGGACGTAAAGAAGTCGGCCACTGCAGTGAGTGTGTCTGTACACTGTTCTTGGCCTGTCAGCATTGAGAGCCTGGGATTGGATCTCCTGCTCAGTGGCTTTAAAATTTCCCCAAATATTTCCCCACCATAAGTTAGGCATTAAACAACAAATTTCTTCATCTTCTCTGAAAAGAGTCTACTAAGTTGGTATATGTGTGAGAGGGGAGATGTATGGCCTCAAAGGGTATGTTGGAAACGCCAGGAGGTAGATATTCTAATTTGTTTCCTAATAAAAGATGACCCTTACTCTAAAAATTACTGTGAAGAAACAAAGCTTCTGGTAAGATTGTGGTTTCCGCCTCGAAAATGTCAGAGCTGAAAAAGGTTAAATGTAAGAATATTCCCAGCATTTTCATTTTTATAACTTTTCCAAAGAAGGTTTCAAAGGGACTGTCATTGCTTCTCTATCTAGGGGTTGCTTCTCGGGTCCATTTTTGCAGGAATTATTTGCTTAGAAATTTCTTCTCTGAGAAATTTTTAGATAAGCTAATGACCAATGTCCAGTTAAAGTATTTCATTAACATCAGCTATAGGGGTTCTCCAAATGATCTGACTTTGCATATTAAAATTTGTTTGTTTGGAAAAGGATAAGGTTTTTAAAAGGACTTGGTTTAAAAACACCCCAATTAAACATTAGTTGTATGTTTAAAAGATTATAATATAGTCTTTATCCTAATAAAGCATATTTCTGGAAAACCCAATATATTTCTGCCTGTTGTTCTCAGATGGTACCTGCGAGGTAGTTAATCTATAGAACACTGTGTTGGTTGAGAGATGGTGTATTTCTAGATCAAATGAGAATATCAAAAGCAGCATTCTTGGGTCATGAAAGAATGCTTTCATGAGTTGTATTTCAGCATTGGGCCTGTGGATTACATCAAAAAATGCTAAAAAGCCCAGCCTTTCATAGTGAGTTACTACATTTACACTAAGGACATTATAAGGCAACTGACTGCTCACTAGATCATTCTGTGGTCTCATTTAAAACCCCAGGTGACAAGTTTTCTTCAAATTAAGTGTTAGGAAAAGCTTTGCTCCTCCTAGAAGTATGTTACTTTTTTATCCTTAAGGATAGCTATTTAACTCGGTGTTTCTCAGCAGGGTGTTAGGGCACTTTGGGCAGAATAATTCTTCAGGAGAGTTATTTAATGTTCTTGGCCTCCAGACATTAATGCCAGCTAGGCACTCAGTCATTGTGACCACACAAACTGTCCACATGTATTTCCAAATGCATTAGTTGAGAAATCATTTGATAGTTCATTTCTTTTCTTTTATACATCAGGAAACGCAATCAAATTTGTGTAAATAAAATTTGGGGTAGAATATTATACCCTATAAATCTGCATTCTAAACTTTGTCCCAGTTTTGAACACGCAGTTTAACTTACATTTTCTCTTGTCCTGAATTTCATTTTGTACTCAACTTTATTGTTAAGACAATTCAAATCCTTTGTTGAGCCAGGGAAGGCACAAATAAATGAAGATACCTTGAGAGTTCAGAGGGATTTTCCCCCCTTCATTCTTAAAAGTTGTACTAAGCTGAAACAAAATATCCCTGCTATTATATAGTGTATGTTTTTAACTCTTTAATACCATCTATGAGGTAATTGATGGTTACTAAGTGATATATTATTATTTTGCTACCACGAAGTGATAGTAAAATGACTCCTCAGACACTTGGCTCTTAGAAACAAAGAAAAAATAATAGGCCAAAGAGAAGAAAATATTTTTTAGAACTTTAAGTGACTATGTATTTAAAAAAAAAATCACATTTACATATAGTATAATTCTATATAACAGAAATTTTATGTGAGAAGAGCCTACAGGAGGTATTCATTACTTTTAATGTTATAAAAATCTTATAGCTAAAAATATAAATTCTATATGAAGCTAGTTTTTTTGTGTGTGCCATTTTAGATGCAAAATTTTAGAGAAAATCTAATCATATGGTCTTCTTTTTCCATATAAGCAAAACTGGTTTTGGTTCTCATTGAACTGCATGATTCCTTCATATTCCTCTTCTTTTGTAGGTATAGGACAAATCTTATTGAGAGAAACTGTGAAGCAACTCAACATTATTAGGCATTTGGATACAGATTTGTTGCTTAAACCAAAACATCTTGAGTGTTGACAGTTCCCCAACTGGTGTTTTGTTTCTTATACTTAGGAGTAAAAAGCTAAAGATGATATTACCCTTCATTTTTTCTTACCTGAGAACTGCAAACAGCTATGTTAGCAGGCAGCTGGGAAAACTGCTTCAATTCAAATACATCACGTGCTGCCCATCGGCTCATGTGATTTTCAGCTTTGCTTGATCCAATCACATTCTGGTTTGAGTGAATGTAAGCCACTTCCTGAACACCATCTAGGAGGTAATTGATGGTTACTAAGTGATGCAATATTATGAGGAAATATGATTCTGTGTATACTTTTAAAACTGCCAGTATTACTGGTAGTTTAGTGTAAAAAAAAACAAACATTATACTTGTTTTATTTTTAATCCTCAAGAAAATTATAATTTGTACATTAAGATGACAATATTCTTTTGAAAAAAATTGAAAAGAGAAAGTTCAAGTATGTTGGTCCAGGTTAACTTGGAAATGACTTTTCCTTCTCATCAATATTGAGAACTACTGTGATTAGGTAACAATGTTTTAAAATGGCCAAGGGTAAAACGGCCAAGGGTAAAGTCATGGTTGAGGGTCCTCTCTATAAATTTGTTTCCTTTGTTAATTTCAAAAAGTTGTTTATGAATTTAAAGAGCAGTGTTAACCGTATCTGTTCCTTTAAATGTGTACTTGATTACAGTGAAGGAATGGGAGCATGGTGGTTTATGACCAGGGAGTTTCATTTGGTTGGCTTTGCTCAGTTTTATTGTTTGTATTTTACCTTTTTTGTACATATTCCCAGAGAATGTCAAGATGGGAGCTTTTTAGGAAATAAAAAAAATTAACTCATGGCTTTTATCTGAAAGAGATTTAAAAAATGGCTACAATTTTTATTGCTTTGCTTCTAGGCACCCATAATTTATTTTTAAATTGTGGTCATAAAGAACAGAGGCCTGTAAAAGCTCCCTCAAACAGCTCTGGCAGTGAACCTCAATTATGACCTTCAACACTTATGCTGTTTCAGTCCTGAACCTCTCTCAACCAGAAATTGCCAATCAAGCAAACATAAGATGCTTAGTAATATGACCAAAAGAGCAACTAGGATAACATTCTTCTTAAATTTCAAAACACCAGGTATTATTTATTATAGCACACAGTTTCACAACCTTCAAAGAATTCTTCTGATAGAAAATTTCCTAATTTTTCTTGATTTTGATGACACATTTTATGCATTAGTTCCATACTAACTATTGCTACCTTTTGCATAGTCAAAATATCCTCAACTGATTATTTAAAAATAATGTATGTAATAATTCCTCAAACCAAAAGATAATCTAGTACTCATTTATAATAGTACTAAAATATACGTAATAATGAATTTTTAAATGAAAATACTAAGAACCACAAAAGAAAGTTTGATCGTTAAATAAATCAAACACAGTAATTAAGGTTTCAAGTAAAATATCCTTCTTATGTTTCAGCTTCTTTCAGATAGTTTTCTGGGAATAAGTCAGATACTTGTGAAGGCAATGTTAACACTTAAAATCACAAATGGGCTCAGCACCTGTAGCTCAGTGAGTAGAGTACCAGCCACATACACCAAAAGTGGCAGGTTTGAGCCTGGCCCGGGCCTGCTAATCAGTTACAACTATAACCAAAAAACAGCTAAGTCCCAGCTACTTGGGAGGCTGAGGCAAGAGTATTACTTAACTCCAAGAGTCTGAGGTTGCTGTGAGCTGTGACGCCACAGCACTCTACCGAGGGTGACATAATGAGATTCTGTCTCAAAAATAAATAAATAAAATAAAATCACAGATTCTGCAGAGGGAATGGTGGCAGGAGAAGCAGATTTTTAATTTCTTTGAATCTTCACATGAAATCAGAGAGAAACTAGACAGCAAAAGCAAAAGCCTATGAACATTTTAAATAAGATATTCCACGAGTCTTAAAGTACAAGCAAGTGGGGACAATCCACCAGTAGTTACAGCCTCTATACAGAATCAGGGTCTGTGTGAAGCCAAGAGGGAAGCATCAGGGTGGTATTGGACAGACCTCAGAACAGGAGACCCCAGATTAGTCAACAGGCTTCACTGGAAAGCACAATGGACCCACTGGAGATGAGCAGCCAAACATGGGGCGGTTTCCTGCCTGCCAGTGCTGAGAGGGTGCAGGACACACAGTAAGAGGGCCTCAAGGGGCTGTAGCAGGCTACTCCCAGGAACACCCCCAAACTGGGGGCCCAACAAAGGGGAGACACTGCTGGGAGAGAATCAAAATAAGACAGGAAGAGCAGGGGTGAGGGAAAGAGAAGTGCTAGAGCAACACGGGGAGAGAAAGAGAGATAGGATATCCCACCACAGTTTTATACTCTACACACAAACCACAAATGGATTTCCATGGGATTAGAAAGGACTTCCTAAACTCTGCCTCATTAAAAAAAAATCAGGGGAAATAGTTTCATATAACAATGAGCAAAAGAAAAGCAGGGTCAAATCTCACAAAAATTCTTGAGAAATAAAGTGAATAAACAGAATAATAGTCCTTCGATGAAAACATGCCAAAAAGATGTGCTCGTAAAAAACAAAAAATGATAAAGATGTGAATCAACAATTTAAGTCATTATTAGAATAACTCAGAAATGAGTGATAGAACTCCGGAAAAGACTTAGAGATTGAAAAAAGGATATTTCAGAAATGAAGAGTATACTAGAAGAAACACTAACGGGGAGTAACACAATAGTAATGCCTTAAGAGAAAGAGAAGGAAATTTTTGAAAAGCAAAAAGAAATGAAGAGATAAAAAAGATTTGAAAGAATTTGACAAATACTGAAGATAGGTAAAGAAGACCAAAGATCTGAATAATAGGATCCCCTGAAGAAGAAAGCCGAAGCACAGGAATAGAACCAACAACTAAACACAGTAGGGTAAGAAAGCTTTCCTGAGATAAAAATCAAGTGGCACTGTGTGCATGAACGTTCTGACCCATAATAATTAACACCAAGACAGAATCTAGCAAAATTACTAGACATCAATGAAAAGAAAAAAAAAAATCCTTTGGGTATCTAAGAGAAGAAAGAACACATGGTACCATGCTTTATGTCAGAAGAAAATGAAGCTACGTAGTTAAGTCATTTGAGAAGAGAAAGTGTGAGTGAAGGATGTAGATCCAACAGAACTGACTTTTAGGTATGAGGGTACAGGCAGTTATCGCAAGAATCTCAGAGAATATTATTGCTGAGAATCAGAATTATCAATATGGAAAAAATGGTATTTACATATAATAGAGAAGAGGGTAAGTAAAAGCTCTATACTCTCAAATTAAGTATCAATATAAATATAAATGAGGTATTTTATAATCATATATAAATATGTATATATACATGAAAATATATAACACATGTGAAAGTATTAATATATATAATAATATGAGTAATATGAGTATTTAAAAGGCCCAGAAATAATAACCAAGCCAGTAGTGGCAATGATCATTACCAGCATTAGACTGTGGTCTTGAAATATACTTTCTCTCTAAAAGAAACCAAGACATTTTACAGAAATGACTGATTCTAGGTCTGGGGAAGAAAATGTATGAGATGATCTTGGAATATCTTGTAGTTCTAGATAAGAAGGACACTTTCAAAGATGACTCGCATCATACCAAAAGGTCTCAGGAACCAAAACATTCATGTCAAAAGGCTCCCACTGGCCAAAGATTGGAATATTGAAGCTTAAGAATAGTAACTGCAATGTATGAGACTCATTACTGTTTGAGTCAATGAATTCATAATAATATTAAGACAAAAATGAGTCATCCTCTAAGGATGACATGGAATCAATTTATTATACTACAAACTGGTTTTAAAAAAATTAAGCATTTTTCTTGCCTCTCTGTGTGAACTGTACCACTGGGCAAGCAATAGTAGGTGATGATGAGTATATCCTTACAAAAGCATTCTGACTAATAAATGAAAATGAAATGAGAAGTAGGAAACGTCATTTTGCTACCCTGAAGGGATGAACAGGTATTGGCATCAAGTACAGCGACTGCTAAGATGGTCAGGAGAAAGAAAAGCAAACATTTTGTGTCTCCTGTAGTCTTGCCAAAGAAATCTAATCTGAGTTTGATCCAGTCTTAAGAGTAAACTGCTCATTTTCAGGTAAGACAGAGGACACAGAAACATGTTCAACCATACTGAGTATACAATTAGCAAAAATGAAAATTGAGAGAAATTCTAAAGATGGTCTTTAGACATCTTTGAGACATTTAAAGGGATAAGAACTCCTGTAGATTATAAGAGACTATGTGTAATAGTCAGGGTTACATAAAAATGCAAATAAGTAATTACTGTCGAAGTAAGAATAAGAGGAGAAGCAGAGGAGCTGAGATTCAGATGGACGATGTGAAGGGGCTCCTGTCTTCCTTTTATCTATCCCCACTTGCCTTCCTAATTTGTACCTCAATGTAGCACCTTGGCTGAGCGCCTGTGGCTCAAGCGACTAAGGCACCAGCCATATACACCTGAGCTGGCGGGTTCAAACCCAGACTAGGCCGCCAAACAACAATGATGGCTGCAACCAAAAAATAGCCAGGCATTGTGGCGGGCGCCTGTAGTCCCAGTTACTTGGGAGGCAGAGGCAGGAGAATCACTTGAGCCCAGAAGTTGGAAGTTGCTGTGACCTATGATGCCACAGCACTCTACCCAGGGCCACAGCTTGAGGCTCTATCTCAAAAAAAAAAAAAAAAGTAGCATCTTGATTTTAGAGTCATCTTACAAATTAATTCAAGGACCTCTTACAGAACTATTTGTATAAAACAATTTCAGAATGTGGCTATAGTTACCTAAAAGTTTATCCATTGATTCATACATCTGCTCTTGATTGACAACATTGTCCTTTGAAAATTTCATTGGTTTTCTTGGCATGAAAGTGCTATTTTTCTCATTATGACTAGGCAATTCTGAAGAGAAACTGATTCTTCTTTTTATAGTTTTTGGTCTATGGTTCTGTTTAGAGAAACTGAGGTGGCCTGTAGATAAATCATCATCTGATGACGAATAATCATCAATAAACTGAGAGTTACAATTCTCATGTGTTGTATGCAGTTGGTTTGTTTTCTTCATTGCTTTAGAATAATCATCAAGTTCCTTATCTTCCTTTTTTCTCCGAAACTTCAATGATCTAGTAGCTCTTTGCTTTCTTTCTCTTGACTTGGAGAACATTTCAATGTCATCAGATTCGTCACTAATATCACTAGTGCCTTTTCTTTTCATAATAGGTTTTATGGTTGTGTTCTCAGGATTTAATTTTTTTGAAATTATTCCATTTTCTCTGTCATCAGTCTTTCTATCATCATTATTATTTCTTGTTTTTACAGAGCTTTCTGTTTCAGCATCTTCAGATCCATCTGAGAATGGCTTCAACTTTATACCATTCTTAGGGAATCTCTGAGTTACACATTGTGTGGGATAGATGACATCGCTGTCTTCAGATTCTGTGGCATTCTGCAAAATGCAACGTTCCTTGGTATTTTTAAATGTTTTCTCATCATCAGACTCAGAAGAAATGTTCTGCTCTAAAATCTTACTTTTATAAAAAACATATTTTTCATTTAGATTTAGATTGTTATCTAATTTCTGATGTTTGGAAGTACCAAGAGAGTCGTGATTTTTCTGACAACTAGCATCTCTGGCTTCTGCTGAAAGGCACCTAGGCTGCTCGTCAGAACTTTCAGCATCAGAAGCAATACTTCCATCATGATCCTCAACCGCTTTACATTTTGCCTCAAACACTTTAGCGAAACCGCACTGGAGTAAGGTAAGCTGTCCTGGAAAACTGGAAGCTTTACTTGAATCAGATGCTTTGTTTTTAGCAGCCTTTCTTCCTGAGCTTCCCACTGATTCATCATCACTAAAGTCACTGCAGAGATCACACACTTCCTTTGCTGGTGGCTCTGCAGGCTGTTCTGGACCTCTGAGTTCTTGACAGTCAGGCTGTCTAGGCTGTATAAAAAGCAATGGCAGAAACATTAGAAAACATCAAGATAATTATGTGGAGTTTATCACACTGGAAGGGAATTAACTTCGGGCAGATAATTTAGGTATATCACTTGGTGTTTTCTAAGAGTGTAACATTTAGTAAATAAATGTAAAGGATTTAATATTACAGTCTGGTAAAGTCTTTTATCAAGTTGAATAACTTTCTGAAATAATTAAAAAGTTAAGAGTACCATGTGATCAAAGTATCTAAAGGAAAGTGATCAACTTTTAAGACACAAGGACTCACAACTCTGGCCCCCAAAGTGAAAAAGGACACAACTTATTGCTGAAGCCTTACTGAGGATTACTACAGTCTAGCAGGTATTTCCAGTCATGCTTTAAGAACAAAACATATTAACATGAGTTAACAAGGTAAAGAATTCACAGTGGGAAAATTATTTTAATTGATTTAAAATAAGTCCAACAGAGTCTTGATCACTAGAGAAAAACATTTTTGAAGTAAAATTTGCTAAAAATTTAAATTCAATATTTAACTCTTTTCACATTAACCAGGGTTAAATACATGTATAACATATCCTTTAGTTTCCTAAAACTGAGGCTTTAAAAGATTTTAGGAAAGTATTATCCAGTAATATTTCTGACAACATTTGATATTGTTGTCATATATCATATTTTTTCTAAATTTACAGAGAAGAAATGTTCACCCCCAAATCCAAAGGCATGAGGCTGGTATTCATTTATAGTTAAGTCTCTAAAACGAAACAAGAAAAAAAAAAAAAAAAACCAACAACAAAAAACCTTCCACACTTTTCTTTTTACCTTTAAAATTGCCTGATTATGATAACATAGATTTTGTGGTATG